TGATCATTTTTTATTTCACAGAAAATTTAGTTGTTCATTCTTTATTTCACAGAACACTAAGTTGATTCATTCTTTATTTCACAGAACACTAAGTTGATTATTCTTTATTTCACAGAACACTAAGTTGATCATTATTTATTTCACAGAACACTAAGTTGATCATTCTTTATTTCACAGAACACTAAGTTGATTATTCTTTATTTCACAGAACACTAAGTTGATCCTTCTTTATTTCACAGGACATTAAGTTGATCATTCTTTATTTCACAGAACACTAAGTTTGAGTTTTACACATTTGAATACAAACCTCGATTTGGGTTTTGTAAAACGATTTTTACACCTTCACGATGGTTTTGCTCACTGAATTGAATACAAACAACATTATAAGCAAACAAATGACTTCCACTTCCATGTGGATAGTGACTCGTCTATAATTTTGTATATTAGAGCACAGGTATTAGTGTAGCATAAGTTTCTTGCTAGAATAAGATAATCTAGAAGCACAAGTTAATCAGCTCTTTTCTCTTTCACTTTTTGTTAACATTTTTAACCATAAAAGGGCTCGCTTTTATCAAATAGAAAATTATCAACTTAGTGTTCTGTGAAATAAAGAATGAACAACTTAGTGTTCTGTGAAATAAAGAATAATCAACTAAATTTTCAGTGAAATAAAAAATGATCAACTTAGTGTTCTGTGAAATAAAGAATGATCGAGTTTCAAATTCAGTACAGGCAAAAACCTCACCTACAAATGAAGATTTCCCAAAGCATTAGAAATTATTGTCAAGAGACAGTCAAATTCCACTATTTTATTGGAGTTACCTAAGAGACGTCGGTGGGTGCAGTTAACTATCTCCTTTCCGTACTTCTCGTCCATCATTTCAAAATCACGCACTGGTAGCGCAAATATCACAAGATTATAGCTTTTCGCGAATATTCGAAACAAACAAAACAATTCTTAGAACAAAAACTCACTATATAAATAATTCTTAGAACAAAAACTCACTATATAAATAATTCTTAGAACAAAAACTCACTATATAAACAATTCTTAGAACAAAAACTCACTATATAAACAATTCTTAGAACAAAAATTCACTATATAAATAATTCTTAGAACAAAAACTCACCATATAAACAATTCTTAGAACAAAAACTCACCATATAAACAATTCTTAGAACAAAAACTCACTATATAAATAATTCTTAGAACAAAAAACTCACCATATAAACAATTCTTAGAACAAAAACTCACCATATAAACAATTCTTAGAACAAAAACTCACTATATAAACAATTCTTAGAACAAAAACTCACCATATAAACAATTCTTAGAACAAAAGTTCACTATATAAACGATTCTTAGAACAAAAACTCACCATATAAACAATTCTTAGAACAAAAACTCACTATATAAATAATTCTCTAGAAAATTTTCACAACACTACGCACTGATTTTTGTTCTTAATTTTTGTTTCTGCAATTCTGGTATATTTTGATTCCTTATAGAAAAGACGAGAAGAGTGATTTCATGTATTAACTGAACTGGAATATTGGGACCAGTTTTGGAATAAACAAGCAGTGTAAGTTTATATCTATCAGCGACATCCCAAAAACAGAGAAATTAATAGTAAGATTTCATATCCATCAAATGGTGTACCTGTAGAGCTGCTATAACGCTAAAAGAGATTATATGATTTCATATCCGTCAAATGGTGCACCTATAGAGCTGCTCTAACGCTAAGAGACAGTATGGTTACATATCCACCAATTGGTGCACCAGTAGAGCTGTTCTAATGGTAATAGACAGTGAATGATTTCATATCCTTCAAATGATGCACCTATAGAGCTGCTCTAACGCTAAGA